CTGCCTGTTTATGGCTTCCCAAGTCAGCTGCTTTTCTCTGGCTACTGATGGGGTCAATTGTGACACACGAGCATTTCATTTGGGGAGTTGAAATGGTACAAATGAGATGAAGGCCATTTCAAAATTGTGGACAAATCTGAAAAGGTAAAGAGATGCCAGAAGACAGTCGAGGATGTACCACCTATAATATTCTTGTAGAAGAGATGATTCTGAAGACTAATGCATGGATATAGTAACTGTGAGCAGGATGACATTAGCAATACTTTTATCTCTGGGTTAACTTAAAAAGTAATAATTCACCTAAAAATTTCATGTATATTAATGCCTCCCAATCATGTTCAGAGAGGTGTGGGATATATGACTGCCAAATATTTTGATGTTTGACCCAAACAGCCCAAAAACATTCCTCTATTCATCCTTCCCCCCTTTTTTTGTTTTTGCACTTCTAGCTCAACTGAAACAGAAAGCAAAATAGCTAGAGGTTCCCCTGAATCTTGCTCAAACACATTTTTCATTCAAATGGATTTGAAACTCTAACACAAGTCTGGATCTTTTGATCTTGATACTTAGGAATACATGTCAGAAACTTCTAATAAACCAAAGTACTGAGATTACATATGCCATAGAGCTAAAATATGTACCTGTAATTCAATAGAAGTATAATAGATGGCATACCATCTATTATAGCAATTTGAAAGCATGCAAATGCGAGAAGATAAATAGGTACCACTTCGGTGGGAAGGTAATAGTGCTCTGTGATGTCATGTTAGCCACATGACCATGGAAATCTCTTCAGACATTTCTGTGTCAATGGCCTTCAGATAAGCATTGCCCCATATAGTTGGCAACCACTAGTGGAGTAAAATCTGCAGGGACTCCTTACAGTAGATGGTTGGTCTATTTTCTTCTTTCAATATAACAAACATGCACACATTCTTACTCAGATACATTTAAATGCTGGTGGGATATTCTTATTATTGTTATGTAATATCTTTGCAGCGAGAGTTGTAATGACTTATGTATCAGCTTGTTTCTGAATGCCATTCAAGATGCTGGCTCTTACCTATAAAATCCAATATGGCTCAAGGGCTGCATATCTAAAAGACTCTCCCAACAGATTCTGCCCACCCAATCCAAGTAAACAGAGCGTGTCTACAACAACTCGCCATAGCCAAGTCACCACCAATAACTCACTATGGGACAATTCGCCATTGCCAATTCGTTGTGGGACAATTTGTTGCAGAACAAGAGTTATATTAATATCAAACAAATAATGGAATAGAATCATTAAAGAAAGGATGCAAAAGGAGAGACAGAATAAAATGGGAATGACAAAAATTAAAATATTTTATTTATTTTAAATAATTAAATTGAATTGTTAAATTGTCGCGCAGCGACTTGTCCCATAGCAAGTTGGCTGGGGCAAGCTGTCCCGTGGCAAGTTGGCTGAAGTGAATTGGCTGTGGTGAGGTGGTCATGGCGAGTTGGCCGCAGTGGATTTCCCCATTCTGAAACAGAGCATATCTGCTATTTCTATGTATTTATTTTTGCATTGGGTTGTTTCTGTTTTCATACTGCTTTTAAGAATAAGGTGGTTAAAGCATTTTAGAAAGGAATAAAATTAGTGGAGCATATATAAAGACATCCACCCATGAACCATATTAAAAACAGGCTTGATAATGTCTTGTGGCTTCTCTTAATATGTATTGAGGGACAAAGAAAACACAAAAACATGCTGATTTGTGAATAGCAATTAATAAACTTGAGTGAGCAGTAACAGTGCTACCTTCTGATGGCTTCACAAATGGAGATGCTACCTTCTGATGGCTTCACAATGGAGATGTAGCCTATCCTTTCTCACCCTTCCCTGTATTATGGGTACCCTGGTCCACAGAGTCTCAAAGCACTGAATGGCAGAGCAGTGGCCAGGGCACAAAGGTTCTGTTGTGCACACTAGAAGAGACTTTCTTTGGTGGATGATGGCTTGTTTAAAGGTCATTTTGGGCAAAAACATAATTCATGCTTCGTGGCAAACCCCCCCTGATATTGGAACATGAGATGATGTGACAATCTCTAATTTTTAGCATCATCTCCTGAAATATCTGATTGGTTGACTGAAGATCAAGAAGTCTGAATAAACAGAATTCAGTTTTGATTTTGGAAAAAGCTGCTTCTTCATGTAGCATCCATTTTTAGTCAGTAGGATAGTAGGAAGAAGCAGTAGTAGTGAGATCCTGCTTAACTTACGCTATAGGAAGTCTCAACATCCTCTCAAACCGTCTTCTGTATGAGGAACTGAGGATGCCCTGAAACCCAAATTCCATGGAACAAACAAATTAGATGGCTGTGCTAAATTATTTGTAATTCTGTACATGTGATTGCCACTTTTCCTTGTTTCCTTATTTCCTCTCCCCCAATAAACTTTTTTACTGATCCTGATTGTTCTCTCCGGACTACCAGCTCTACTCTGAATTCTGCTTATAATTATGTTGATTTTCTTGGCTTTATAAGGGGATTTCTCATTAAACCTTCCCCATAGGCAAAAACAACACAAGGTTTGCTAAATCCTGAGTCTTGTGTCAGCAGGAAAATATATTTTATCCTAAATGGATGCTCCACCTTTCCTCCAGAAGCTTAAGTGAGCCCCTTCCTTTTCCATTTTTTTCCATAATTTTTCTTATACATTATTTCCTCACACATGGTTTATATTTAATCAAAGGAATGATGAGACATAGAAAAGAGAAGGAACTTTTCCTTTCCTTCGCTCTCCCCCCATTATAATAGCTGAACTTATGAGAAGACCGAAGCAAAAAAAACCACCCCCCCCTATACTTCTTGAACATGTAGAAGTGGTGGGAATTCAGCTCAATCCAAGTGACCAAGAACAGGAAGGTCAAAAAAAAAAAAGAAAGAAAGGAGCTGCTGGTTCTCCAAATCACATCATTGTGTTTTGTTCCTTCTCCACAATGGCGTGAGAAGGATTGGGGTATCAGTCCTCTTTCTGAATTTCCTGCAGTTGTTTCGGTGCTTTGCATTTGTATTTTACACACATGCCCACACCCACTCCAGCTTTCGTTGGGAAACAGGCATACAAGAGTCTGTGTTTGTATCAGAAGTGTGTGCCAGACTTCTTGGCTGGTTTCCACCACTCAGCTACTGGGGCCGGGACAACAGCAGAGGTGCTTCCGTTGTTGAGATGCAAAGAGGGTCTGTCTGCCTGCCCTCTTTCCACATTAGCCCTTGTCCTAAGTGCCAGAGAGGCTATTCCCATGAACTGCTGCATATTCATTACTCTCGTCTGGCAGAACAGTTGTTTTAAAGGAGGAAAAGCCAGCATGGAATGGGTGAACCTCTCTCTTCACATGTATACTGAAAGCTCTCTTCATAATACAGCTTCAGCTAAGCCCGGAGTTGCAGTTCATAGAAACAATTCTTCTCTCTGGACCATCAGCTCTACTCTGAATTCTGCTTATATTTGTATCCTCTCTTGGCATATATTTGGAATTTTCCCTCTGCTATTATGTACTTTATCCAAAGTCTATATATGTACGGGGATAATTCACACAACATTTATTATTAGAGCAGCAGTTGACTCCCCAGAGCTGTCTTGTGCAAGCAGTTTTAAAGTAGCCTCCACACAGCATCTATTCATTATCATAAGACAGGGTGATGGCCACTAATTTGGATGGCTTTAAAAGAAGATTGAAAAAAAAACATTCATGTAGGACAGTTCTATGCAAGGCTATTGATTGTTGAAGACTCGTTATTACCTCTGGGTAATAATTACTTTCCAAATATTTGTTGTAGAGCAGGGGTGTCAAACTCGTGTTATCACGGTGGCGTCACGTGACGTATCAGGACTCCCCCCCTTCGCTAAACCGGGCATGGGTGTGGCCAGCGCATGACGCATCTGGCCCGCGGGCCGTGAGTTTGACAGCCCTGTTGTAGAGTATGTGGAAGAGAGGTATGTTTCCAACTCTTTTGCATGTAGCTCAGAAGTGTCTGGTAAGCCATTGTGAAGCACCAAATGCTGGATTAAGATGGGCTTCAGCCTGACCCAACAAGGTACACTAACTTTTTGTGTCTAAAGCCAGACACAGAATCATTCCCACTAGCAAAGGCTAGAGGTATGGCACATATAATTCAACTGATAACTGGAAGGCATGAAGCAGGCTGGGTTTGAAACAGAACATACATGCCAATAATTCCCATTGCTTTAGTAGAGATATGGAGTACGCAGAAAGGCTGTCTGGCCCAAGATTATGCCGTGAAGGTTATGTTCAACAGGGGACCTGAATTTGAACCTTTCCAGTTTCCGCTTGACATCTTAATTATGCTATACTGCTTAAGGTATCGTACCTTGCTGTAATTTGCGTCCCATTTCCTTATGATGCAGTCTGGTAAAGGATGAAATGCAGTGCTGTTTAGCCTCTTGGATAAAACTAAGTCTCTGAAACATCTGATAGAATGATTGCCAATCCTTGGAAGCTGTTTCCTAGTTCCTTTGCTTTCAAGCACATTGTGGTCCTTCTGTTCTCTCATTTTTGAACACAAAGATATGTGCATCATGTTTGAATACCACTGATCATGTTCAGCTAGTTTGATATAGTGGTTAAGGCTCCAGGCTGGAAACTAGGAGGCCATGAGTTCTACTCCCACATTAGACATGAAGCCAGTTGGGTGGCCCTGGGCCAGCCACTCTATCTCAGTCCTGGGAAGCAGGCAAAGGCAAACTACTTCCAAAAACTCTTGCCAAAAAAAACTGCAGGGATTTCTTCAGACAGTTGTCAGAAATCAACAAAGACTTGAAGGCTCAAGTAAAAATCAGATCTACTCAAAGCTATTTGCCTTTTGATATGGATTGATATACATAATTAATTCCATTATCCTCCACGTATACTTGATACCTGACAGTATGTTTATGAAAATGGCTTCCTGAATATAGAATAACATGGAATCCTTTCCATTTTAAAAAGATTATGACTCAGATGGAACCTATATGAAAAATACATGCAGTTGTATTGCACATTCACATAAACTCTGAGCATTAAATACAGTAATCCTTGAGTTTTAGAAGTAGAGGCAAGAACTTCCGAATATAGGAATGTATTAATGGCATGAGAACAGTAACTGCTTTACTGAAGAAGACATTTTCTGTTTCCAAATAGAAATTCAAGCTACCTAGAAGTACTATAATAGGAAAACTGGTGTTACATTATGAGGCTTAGACAAAAAAGCCAAAAGTTATCAACCAGCACAGAATCAGCACATTTTCTGATATTATTCATAGCCGGGCATCATATGGGTTCAGTTTATATCTACATCCACATTTATCCATGTTTCTTTTCTTCAAAATAACAAAAGCAAAAGAAAAGTACTATTTATTATTTGTAAATAACCATTTAATTTAAATATTCCTCAGACTAGCAAAATGGCTGCCCTCCCACTTTTTCAGGGTAGCCTTTTACTGACAAAACACAACCTGGCACATAGGATGAACAACTCAGATGGGGACTGACAACCCACCCCTCACGTTCCTTCATCCTTTTTGCTGGCACTGCCTTATAAAGATCTGGTTACACACCAGTTTCTTTTGCACGCCTGCACGCATACGTACACAAACGATTTGCACCTCTGAAGACATATCGGGGAATCCAGTGCAAAAGGAAATTCTGCCAAGAAAGGAAATATTGACCCTGATTGACAACACGCTCAGTACTAAGTAAAGCCATTAATGACTGTTTAGAAGTAAGCTCCCCTTGGGAACGCTTGCAGATAAAACATTTTTAGTCACCCAAGTAATTTTAAAATAAAGACTATTGAGATGGCTGGCAGTAATAAAACTTGGATATTTTTTTTTTTTGCCCCTGCTTTGGAGTAACTTGTTTCTTTTTCTTTCTTTTTTTTAAGGTAAACCAATTCTGCATGATTTCCAAATCATTATCTGACTGAATCTCAAGAACACCCAGAACTTTTCCCTTTGAGTTCTTTTGGGCAGGAACTGTTTTCTTGAAAAGTTGCAGTTGCAGTTAGGTTGTACAATTGGTTCAAGTTGGAATGGGGAAAAAAATGAGAAACACAGGAAGAGACAGTCACAAAATCACACAATGCAGTTTGTGGGAACCAGTTGCTCTGTCTCCTCGCCACTTGGTCTTTTTCTTCTTCTGGTTCTTTTCTGGAACTTGTTGCCTGTTTGGGAATATAGAATAAATATCAGTACTGCTTTTAAGATGGAAGGATTAGTTAGAACCAGAAACTCTAGTTCTAAAACCAGAACTAGACATCTTATTATATATAATGCTTCACACTGCTTTACAGCCCTCTCTAAATGGTTTACAGAGTCAGCATATTGCCCCAAACAATCTGGGTCCTCATTTTACTAACTTTGGAAGGATGGAAGCCTGAGTCAACCTTGAACCAATCAGAATCAAATTCTTGGCAGCGAGCAGTGAGTTAGCCTGCGATACTGCATTCTAACCACTGTGCCACCATGGCTTTATACATTATAATGTATAATATTATATACTGGTATACTAAAATATATAATATGTTATACATTATTATATTATAGACTAGAAGTAGACATCTGCCTAGGACATCTTAGTTCTTGGTTCTAGCTATAGCTAGAACTAGAATCAGGAGCTAAGAATTCCTAGGCACAGAATTCACACAATAGTTGTGACGGTGAGTGATTTCCATTACAAAAGTGGTGAATGAATCGAACAGTCTCCCTCCCTCCTTGAAGGAGCATTTTTTCTCCAGTGAGAAAAGTTTCAATCATATCATGCTTGTCTGATGATTTAGACTGATTTTGCATGCGGAGCCAAAATGTGCTTTGTTTGCTTTTGTCTTAACAATGGTTTGTCAATGGCATGATCAGTGTGACTGAGAATCTCTACAGACCTTTAGCTGTACAATTTGGGATGAACACCCTTTGAATGGTGTAGGAGTAGGAATGGATTTCCAGAGGAAAAATTGCAGACTAGGGGAACCAGGAGCACTACTCAGGTGAGGACACGGATGAACCTCCAAGTGCCTCAACGACCCTCTAAAAGAATGCAAATGACCAGCTGTCTGCAAGGAATATAAACCCTTCCATTCCCCACTATCCTGTCAGAACTGAAGAAACTTCTTGGATGAGAAGCGAAACGTCTTCAAAGAAAAAAACAAGAAAGTCCAATTGCCTCCTTAAAAAGCATCTTTGGGACAACCATGACCTGGATAACTGAGAATCTCTAGAGACAATGGTTTATCAACTAATGTTTACATGACAGCAGGGTGTGTGAACCTTCCAACTGTGCCTTATTCAACAAACTATACTCAAAATACAGCAGTGGGTGCAATAAGGGGACCCAGTACAGTTCAGGCTAAAATACGATGCCTCATTTTAATGGTGCTAAATAAGTCCACTAAGCTAGAAATATAGACATTAACTACACTGAGAATTGTCATCTACAGAGCCAGATCATTAGGTTTTGGGCTTTTTGTGTTCCTGAGCTTGCTCTCTTTTTGCAGGCTTTTCATTTCCAGGCTAGTAATGAAATATCTGCAGGAAGAGAAGCAAGGACCCTACCCCCAAACAACTCAACCCTCAACTAAATATATATTCCCCACTATGGAGCCCAATGGTCTATCTCAGGCCTGTCAAACTGATGGCCTGAGGGCTGGATGCGTCACATGCAGGCTGTGCCCATCCTGGCTCCGCAAAGGCAAAAAACGTCGCGATACGTCAAGTGACGCGATCGAGTTTGACACCTGTGGTCTATCTACCCCAGGAGTCTTGACTCTGCAGGCAAGCCCCAAGCTCTGCCTTTAAGATTTCTGTCTTTAGCATTGGAAAGCCTTTGAAGTTGAATAAACTATTATCCTGAACAGCTTGCACATAAGTTATTTATTTATTATTTTTCATTTATTGGATTTAGGTGCCACTTGACTCCAAAACAAGACTGGGCAGCTCAAAAAATCAGAAAGAAAACAGAATAAAAGCACAGTATCATACAATGAAGCAGATGGCATCCTTGAGGCCTGCAGAGGGAACAGAGTAACTTGTTCAGAGTAACAGAGAACAGAGAAGCCAGCTGAATCAAGGACCTTACTGTTGCTACATTAACTGACTGTTTTGATTTCAAAGTTAAAAGCAGTAATTGTGACAGCCTTTGCATGTAGAAAACTAAAAGGAGTTGTGAGGAAAAATTATGCATCTCCAAAAGAATTGGAGATGAAAGATTAAAGAAAAACCCTGTATTTACACATCAAGCTAAGTCAAAGTTATCATGGGTTTGATTAGCACTCCCCGTTTTCCCCTAATATTATTTTTGCTGCTCTTTATGCTTCATGCTAATAGTTCGAACCAATAAACCAATGAAGAACCATTATTCACATTATGGTTCCTTGTCTTAAAATAAACCCCTTTTTTCCTCCTCTGACCTAAGGTTCATATCATACAAAGATAAGAGTAAACATGGCTTAGTGCAATATGAATCTCATAATTCTACTTAGTCTCAAGTGACTGAATGTCCTATCTCGTTTGAGCCAAAGTTTCTGTATGAATTCTAAAGCCTAAAACATGAATTTTCTTAAGCAAAAACTTTGGAAAGACAAAAGAAAATTTTGATATGAATATTCCAAAGGAAAAATAAATACAGGCAATATGCCATTTTCAGATTATGCAGAATCAATATGGATGAATGGATGGACAAACAAATTTATTTCTGCAGTTTTGAAATAGTGGCTGCTTCAAAAACAAAGATACGGTATTTATTTTTTACAGTTTTCTGGGCAGTTAGGCAGTGTATGTACGCTATCTATTTAAAACACCTAAACTTTAAGCTATAAAGATATATTTTGAACCCCCTGTTCCACTGTGTTAATTTCAATGGACCTCAACAAAATCCAGGTAAATTTGTGCACAATTTCCTCTGATATGATTTATAAAGACCAAACTGACTCATTTAATAGTCAGCACTATTTTCAAGCCTAAATACCATCTATTAGCTCTCCTAATATTTCATGAGAACTTAGATTGAGATCACCAAAATTATATGCAAGAATGCGTAGTCTTGTAGAATCTTTATATTGCGATTGCAAAGTATTTCGTGTACGTTTTGCATTATTACTCAAGATCGTTCAAACTACATGAGACTTCCGTGCTTTTTCATTCATCTTGAGTATGGATGGGACTACAGATATACCCTGATTTATGGCCTCAATTGAGTCCAAAACCTCTGTTGCTAAGTGAGACATTTGTTAAGTGCATTTTGCCATTTTATTTCTTGCCACAGTTGTAGAGTAAATCACTTCAGTTATTAAGTTAGTAACAGGGTTGTTTGTTAAGTGAATCTGATTTCCCCATTGACTTCGCTTGTCAGAAGGTCACAAAAGGTGACACCATGATCCCTGCAACTGTCATAAATATGAGTTAGTTGCCATGTGTCTGAATTTCCATCACATGACCATCGGGATGCTGCAATGGTCATAAGTGTGAAAAATGATCGTCAATCTTCGGTATCGTTTTAATGGTCACTAAACAAACTGTTGTCAGTTGAGGACTACCTACATTTTTGGATTTGAAAAACACCATGTGGTCTGTACAGATCTAAAGCAGGGGTCCCCAACCCCTGGTCTGTGGATTGACACCAGTCCAGAGCATGCCAGCAACCGGGCCACACACAGAAGTGGAGCCCCACCCAACAGGATGTAGGCATGCAAAACCACTCCCTCTCTGGTCTGCAAAATCTCCATTCCCACCCCACTCCAGGGGAAGGGTACTTCAAAATCCCCATTCCCTCCCCACTCCTGTGGGAAGGATACTGCAAAATCTCCATTCCCACCGCACTCCAGGGGAAGGATACTGCAAAATCCCGATTCCCTCACCACTCCTGGGGGAAGGATACTGCAAAATCCCCATTCCCACCCCACTCCAGGTGAAGGATATTGCAAAATCTCCATTCCCTCCCCACTCCTGGGGGAAGGATATTGCAAAATCTCCATTCCCATCCCACTCCAGGGGAAGGATACTGCAAAATCTCCATTTCCACCCCACTCCAGGGGAAGGATACTGCAAAATCCCCATTTCCTCCCCACTCCTGTGGGAAGGATACTGCAAAATCTTCATTTCCACCCCACTCCTGGGGGAAGAATACTGCAAAATCTCCATTTCACCCCAGTCCAGAGGAAGGGTACTTCAAAATCCCCATTCCCTCCCCACTCCTGTGGGAAGGGTACTGCAAAATCCCCATTCCCTCACCACTCCTGGGGGAAAGATATTGCAAAATCTCCATTCCCTCCCCACTCCTGGGGGAAGGATACTGCAAAATCTCCATTCCCACCCCACTCCAGGGGAAGGATACTGCAAAATCTCCATTTCCACCCCACTCCAGGGGAAGGATACTGCAAAATCCCCATTTCCTCCCCACTCCTGTGGGAAGGATACTGCAAAATCTTCATTTCCACCCCACTCCTGGGGGAAGGATACTACAAAATCCCCATTCCCTCCCCACTCCTGGGGGAAGGATACTGCAAAATCTCCATTCCCTCCCTACTCCTGGGAGAAGGATATTGTAAAATCTCCATTCCCACCCCACTCTGGGGCCAGCCAGATTTGCCGGTTCTCTGAACTGCTCAAAATTTCCGCTACCGGTTCTCCAGAACCTGTCAGAACCTGCTGGATTTCACCCCTGGAACCGGTCCCTGGTGCTCAAAAAGTTGGGGACCGCTGATCGAGAAATCTCTAGCAGCCTTTTCCAACTTTCCCCAAATCCTGCAAATTGTTGGAACCAACTGTAGCCCATATGAGGTACTTTCCAGTTTCAGGCAGATGGTTTTCATTGCCAGCTTAATTACCCACAACCTCAAACCAAAGAAACTACAGTAAAGTTATCCTTCTGTTCTCATCCATTCACTAACTGCCCCCCCCTCCGAATCTCTGCTAACTTCAATGGGCAAGTCCTGTTTGAAATTGGTGAACATAAGAAACAAGAGAGTGCCTCAAAGCTGTTTAAGAGGCACGTAGGGACTTTACTGTGTTTTCTTTTTCTTGAAAAAACAACACAAAACTGTACAACGATAAAATGCAACTACAATAGGGATTATTGTTTTTAACCGAGCAATGTTTATTAAGCTTTCTTGACCTCTAAATCTCTCTTCCCTTGCATCCCTTCACTGCCAACTAGGAACAGCCTGAAGAATTTGCAATGACTAAAAAATCCTGTATCCTGCAGAAATCAAGGCTACACTATCTTATTTTCTGTAGCTAATGTGGCAGTCAGAGAGCTCCTATTCTAGGAAAGCTTGCTGAGAACACAACTGCAAGGCAAGAGTGTGTAACTTTCCTGGTTCAAACAATTAGCATGTTTCCCCCCACCCCCAGCCCATTTTTCAAAAAATAAGAATGTATATATGCAAAGGATCTAGTGCCAGATGTCCCATTTTAGCTAAAAGTCTTTGATTAATAAAGCTTGGAAAGCAGCACAGTGATCCTTTGGAAAAAGGTAACTAGTTTCTTCGTTATATAATAAGAGCAATGGGTCAGGGCATGATTGCTGGGGCATCCTGTCCCATTTCAGGGTGGAGGTTGCTGCAAAACTGCTTAGAACAATGAAGGGTTACGTTTGCCAGAAGATATGTGATCTTTGCTAGCTGATCATCAGAGGTGGCTTGAGATCTAGCAAAATGAAATTGGTAGCTGTCATGACGAGAGAGGCAATTTTGCCTTTACTGCTAAGGTCAGCAACGAACAGGTTTTAAAAAGCCTGCTGAAAAGACTTCTCTTGGGGGGAAGTGCTTATATTCACCTTTCCTTTTTTTTAAAAAAAAAATTCCAACCAGTCTCACTTCATAATTTGTCTGGGCTTTCTATGGTGGTTTTGCTTGTTTTTCACAATGTTTGCTTGCTTCTTAGAGCTTCTGCTTGCTTCTTACAAATATCAAAATATTTTGAAAACAAACAGGCTTCCCTTGTACACCACATTCATCTGTAATACTATTTCTTCCTGTTTTGGGGGACATGTGGCCAGAAACATGAACCTGAAGTTCTCATATCCAGTCCAGATGAGAGGAACAGAAGAATTCTTATTCTAAAAGTCATGGCTTCAAAAGCTTGACTTAGCACTAAGCCGTGAAACAGGGATAGGTCAATCAGTTCTCCTAGATTTTCTTTTTCTTTTTTTACATACACAAAAGGAGACAAATTTTATTTGGTTTTCAGTGGAATGGCTTCTTTTAATGTCTGGCAGGACATCAAACCTGTGACATTTCTTCATTGATTTCAACCTATTCAGACATGGACAAAGAGGTTTTTTGCAGGATCCCAATCTGGATCAGTCACCAGTGCCAGAGGTTCTGTCTTCTGAACTTTTAGTCTTGTGCTGGAGCCCATCTTCAGGGAACTTCTCTCTGTTAGAGAGATTCCATGAGGATGAGCTCTAGTATAAGAGTCCAAAATCTCGGTAAACAGAACCTCTGGCTCTGGTGGCCAATCCAGATAATCCTGCAACATTATCCTGGTACACATATATTCGTCTTCATTCAAAAGAGGTTTTTGTCGCCTCCCCCAAAAGTGTTTTGCCTTATGTCTAAATTATTTATGAATTATTTAGTTCAACTTTCTTAAACTATTAAGATTTTAAAATTAAAAAAAAAAATCATATTGGCATAGAATATGACGACTAAGTTTTGATGTCATTCTTTGAAAGTTTTATTTGTTCCAGATAAATATGGGTTAAAAATAACAATTGTTACAGATTTCCTGGTAAGCCAAAAATATATCAACAAATATTTAAATAAATAGGTTCTAAGGCTGAGACTGAAAACTAATGCTTAGTGAATGATTCATAAACATTTTTTTCTAAAGTAAGTTTGATTCATGATACGTGAGTGGAAGCCAAATCAGCTGTGGACCGATTTAATAGCGGGATGGCTCACCTGATTACTCGAACAAGATCATGGAAGGCTTTGTCAACATTCAGTGGAGGATCCTTAGCACTAGTTTCTATATATGGAATCTGGAAAACAAAGGCTCAGTTATGTTTACATATATACTATGCACATTTAGAGTATAAGAAATATAGGAAAGCAAAATGCAAATGCCATTAAAATAGGAAGAGAGATTGTTTTGTATGCTAAGTTAGGGTATTATTTTTTTTCTCCCCTAGTTCTGAATTCTTGGGATGTAGAAAAATAAAATTATTGAGAGAGGTCGTCATTTACTATAGAAAAGTTAATAAGGAAAGAAGTATGGACAATTGTTCAAAAGTTTCTTTACAGTCTTGTATGCGTTCTTATAGAGCAGAAGTGGTTTTTAGTGGCACAGTTGCATTGCAAGCTTTCATAGCGGTCTCGCTTTCATGGATTTCCCTCCACAATTACAATACAAGAATAGCTGTTGAGTGAAAGCAGTTGATATCTACCCACTGCCTTTATATACCCGGATTTGAGAACTCGAGTAACAGAAATAGTGCTATTTGAATACTGAGAGCTGGAGTGGTGTTCTTCCATTTCTACTTTAAATGACTGTTAAAAAAAAAAAAATCAAATGTTGTACCCTCTAAAAGGGAGGGGGAGTACTTACCAACCAACCAACCAAATCACAGTAAGAAAAGTACTGGTAGTTTGCTCAGGGGAAGAACAGTAGTCATTAAAGTATGTTTTTATTGGGCTCTGAACTGTAGAATTCTACATATCAATTCCACATGTCAAACAAGTATAATAACCACTCGGTCACTGGTGAAATCTAAAATTTGTTACTACCGGTTCTATGGGTGTGGCTTGGTGGTGGTGGTGGGTAATGTGACTGGGTGGGCGTGGCCAACTTTTTTTTTTTTTTTACTTTTAAAACCATTTTTTTCTATAACCTCTTCAGCCGAAGAGGTTGTAAAAAATGCTTTTAAAAGGCTCTGACGATCCCAGCTGAGTTGCCTGATCGGCAGAGGCTTTTAAAAGAAAAAAAAAGCATAGATTTCCAGCAAAACAAAGCACACGGAAAGGAAAGCAACTAGCCATTACTTTCCTGGAACAGAAAAAGGGAAGGCACAGCTGCAGTAGAATTGACCAAGGGGTGCCCATTGCTAGCTTCCAGTCCAGACTGAATTTCTTGCCAGCCTCTGACAAAGTGTCCAGACAGGATTTTCTTAAACTGGTTTACAGTTAAGCCTGTCTCCTCACAAAAGGGCACTAGTTTAAGGATGCAGTGTGCATATGCTCTCAATGGTCTTTTCCAAGCTGAAATGCCTCATTTTAAAGACAATTCTTTCGGTTGGCCATTTATAAGGATATTTTGTGTTCTGTATCCAGTTCTGCTCAATTTTTTTCTTCTGATTGGTGGAGGGGATGAAGAAGGGACAGGCGTAACTATATATGGTATTCTAAATGAGGTTTTATGATCCTGCATATTGGCACTAAGATAGCAAATGCTAAGAGACGGTACTGTTAAAATGGAGCCTTTCTGTCTGATTGAAATGTCGCCCACCTTCCCCTCCCTTCAAATGGTTCTTTAGAGCCTAATAAATCTCAGACTTTCTTCACAATAACTGCACACTGAAAACTTGCAGCGTTGTCAAGCTAGCTTCAAACGTGAGTGGGAAGTATTTCAATCGCCCAACATCTAGATAGTCGGTTCACATTTTGCTTTTTAACTAATGAACTCAGTATACGAATGTCTGAGGGGTTTTCGTAAACCAGTGCAGTATCTCCGAGTGTTGCTGTACTTTTCTAATAGATTTGACATGCTCAAAATGTCATTTAAATAATGACATTAAATGCATTGTTGACTAGTTTTTTTTAAAAAACAAATATTTGCAACTTAATTTGAAAAATGAACAGGATTGTGGGTAAGAACAATACATAAATGATTCTAGGCCAGCAATGGAATTTAACATCATCGCAGGGATCAGGGATCAGAGGACTGATGGATATAGGAAAAGAGCCAAGTAAGACACTTGATATTAGAAGGAGAATCCAATATCAAATCCTACTCCTTCTCCACTGGTCTCTGATCCTTTTCTTTATGGGGCTGACAGATATGACATCAAACAATCCTCCTACAGAGTATTAGCATGGAGCTGAGGATTTTCTGGATTCTAAACCCACCTCAGGCTAAAGGGAGTAGTGGGAGAGGGGTCAAAGGGGATTAGGACCCAGAATATCCTCAGTAGTTCCTATTCCAGATCTACTCCATGGCATGCAACCCCTGAGGAATTTTTCTTTGCAGTGGAAATAAAATGAATTTATAATTTTGAAAAGGAAAAAGGCACTTACTCTGTCTGCCTTAACTTGGCCACCATCAACTTGCTTATCCCAAATCCACTTCATAATTTGTTTTCTAATTCCACTGATGGCATCCCCCAATTGAGCAGCTCTGAGAACAATTTTATTCTAAAAGGGTGTCCTGGGGACAGTTTGAGCCAGGGACCACATCAGGGATATATGCAGGGTATTGTGAAAAAAGCCAAGATGGCAGCTGTGACATGTGATTTAAGTGATTTGTCAATCTGGTGGTCGCCATCCTGACTATTCTTTTATTCCGCCTTGTGAAATATTTTTTTATTCCACCCTTGGACCATTTCCAAGTCACAGCCACAGAACAGGATGGGAAGAAACCAAGAGGACATACATTGTGCTTGGCTGCCATTTCCTTCCCTTGGTCCTGGGTGATTTTTCTCAAATGCATTAGATCAACTTTGTTGGCCACTAAAATCATTGGAAAAGATTCTCTGAAAGACAAAAAGAAGAATGAGAAATATCAGTACACATTTATCTTTGCAGCGGGTAGAGGAATTATCAATTTTAAATCCTTCCATACATCAACAATAGCTGATGTTCGCTCAAATAACATCATCTAGTATATGTTAGTAGGTAATGTACTTCAACAACATTTTACACCTCTAATTTTCTATAGATTGACTGCCAGTTGAATCCATGGACTGGCCATACAAAAATAAAACAAAACCCATTTGACCTAGAGGCTGGAGGGCACCTACCTATCCTTAACTCGGAGAATGAGTTGATGGAACCTATCCACATGTTCAAAGCTGGCTTTATCTGTGACCGAATAAACTATAAGGAAGCCATCTCCCGTCCTCATGTACTGCTCTCTCATTGCACTGAATTCTTCTTGACCAGCAGTGTCCAGGACTAGTGAGAAGAGAGAGGGAAAAAAAAAAGAAAATGATTGAAAGAAATCACTTGCCCACTTAAGTTACTTCTCCAAACTACATCAGACCTGTTACATCCAAAGATGCGCCACTATGCAGATAGTAAATATGTAAAAGGAGATGGGCCTTTTTCTTGCTCTCTCTCCTACTGTTCACATTTGGAGGAAGATACATGCAAAGGCAGCCTAAACACAATGGTAGATAGGCTATAGGTCTCTTTTTGTCTTAGGCAAATGATAACCAGCTGGATTAGCCCACTGAGCCATGGTAGCCCAGTGGTTAGAGTGCACTATTGCAGGCTACTTCTGCTGACTGCCACTGACTGCAATTTGGCAGTTCAAATCTCACCAGGCTGAAGATTGACTCAACCTTCCATCCTTCTGAGGTGGTTAAAATGAGGACCCAAATTGTTGGGGGCAATATGCTGACTCTGTAAACCGCTTAAAGAGGGCTGTAAAGCACTGTGAAGTGGTATATAAGTCTAAGTGCTATTGCTATTGCTATATGGTCCCGTAACAAAGCAAATAAAAAATGAAGTAATAATCCCACAATAAGGCAAGGGCAAATTATTTCCATTCTGCTGCCTAGTAAATGGCATAGATGGGGCCCTGCAGCCAGAAGCCAAGCTCAACATGAAGGAGGTTTTACATGAGATGAGTAAAGTAGTAGTAAACTTTCCAAAAGAGTGCCTTGGGAGCAGCACTCCCCCTTGCCTCAGGTGTTTATTATGCGTGTGTAGGTATGCATTAAGTGGATTGATTCAATGCCCTTGAATCATTCATGCAATGTTTTCTCCCATCCCTCCTTCAAATGCTCATCAGAAGAATGAGCATTTCAGATGTGAGCACATATAATTTGGTGATTCAGACTGCAAGCGGTTTGGGTTTGGTGACTCCAGATGCATTTGGGTTGCTTGTTCAAAAATTCCTAGCCAGCAATCTGGTCTAAAGGAGGCTGCTCTTATCCTTAAATCTCCATGTGTTTTGTAGTTTCCATGTGATCAGATAAAAGCCTGCTGTGTAATAATGGCCTTTTTAGGTTTGTACTTTTCTTCACAGAAAGAGCCTTTCTCTTTGTATTATAAAGGAAATTATTTTGCAGACCTTTCCACTACCTGATGGGGGAAGCTCAACCACACAGCCATTGTTAAATAATTATTTTAAGGCCATTAAGAAAAGAAAGATCTCAGAAAAAGAGACATACTGTACTATGTTCTAGTAAGCAGAGATATTGGTGGTACGGTTATTTATTTTTTTCTTTTAGTATAGGTAGTCCTCGATCTACAACCACAATTTATGTTGCTAGGTTAAGACAATTGTTAAGTGAGTTTTGCCTCATTTTACCACTTTTCTTGCCAGAGTTGTTAAGTGAATTGCTGCAGTTGTTAGGTAAGTAATTATTACTATGGTAAGTAATATGATTATTAAGTGACTATGGATTCTCCATTGACTTTGCTTGTCAGAAGGTTTCAAAAGGGGATCACATAACTCCAGGACACTGCAACCACCATAAATATATGTCAGTTGCCAAATGTCTGAATTTTGATTACATGATCATGGGAATGCTGCAATGGTTGTAAGTGTGAAAAACAGTCATAAGTCACTTTTTTCGTTGTAACTTTGTAACCGTTGTAACTTTGGTCAATAAATGAATGGTTGTTAAGTCAAAGACTACCTCTGTTAAGACCTCCTTTTGAGGGGGTTTAAGCTTTGAGAGCCACTTTGGTGTAGTGGTTAAGGCATCAGGCTAGAAACCAGGAGACCGTGAGTTCTAGTCCCACCTTAGGCACAAAGCCTGCTGGTTGACCCTGAGCTAGTCTTAGCCCTAGGAAGAAGGCGGCCATGGCAAACCATTTCTGAAAATCTTACCAGGAAAGCTGCAGGGATTTGTCCAGGTTGTCCTTGAGAATTGGACACAATTGAATGGAAGTGGAATAAACAAAGCCACAAGAAGATCCCATGGAACATTGACCGTTCTGGATAGTCTCTCACATCAAAGCATGGCTTATATGAGGATGACTGCTTGGAAAGGGCTAGTCCAAATCTTGCCTCATCACTGAAATGTCTGATGTGACTTATGGTTTCAAATGAATGACTCATCACTTGCAGTCTAAGATAGGACAGGCTGAGGGCAGTTTTCAATCTGAATGAAGGCTACTCTCCCACCCATCCTGGGTTTTGTCTGCAAGAGTAGGACTTGGTTTAAGGATGTGACAAATAAAGACAGGAATGTCTCAAAGCATTTACAGAAAAAAATTGTCCTTCTCCACTGGATATCCACAACCAGCATGATCAAAAACTGTGGCAAGGACACACCTCTGGTTTTGAAAGTTAATTACTATTCTCTCCTCTTCCAGCATTTCTGAATACTGCATCTAAAACCACTGAATTTCCTCTTACTGGGAATAGTGGGAAGTAACGAAAACCAGCAGTGGCAGCGCGGCTACCACAAAAAGCTGCAATTACTCTCTTCTGACATCACTCAACTGCATAGCAGTGTAACCATTACAGTGCTCCTGGGAATCAGGCTGCTTGAAGATCGCTCCTGATGACAAAAGTAACAGAAGCATTCCTATATCTAGAAAGCAGCAATTCAGCCGCACAACAGTGACAGACAAAAAAAAAAAAAAAAAAAAAATGCAGCTGCAATACCCGTAACTATCACATATCTTATGTCACTTGTGCACTCACAGATGGCAACTCTAGGTAGAAAGCATCAACCACTAAGGTAGGTACAGGGGTGGGATTCTACTGATTCGGACTGGTTCTCCTGAACTGGTAGTTCCCACTTCCTGCCGAGAGCAAACCGGTTCTTTGTTGCTGTAAAAGTGTGCCTGCCCGCCTGTCCCCGGGTTATACTGACTTTTATTTCTGCTTCTGAAGCCCAGCTGATCAGGGGGCGGCAGATTGAATTGGCCCTCCTCAGCTATTTTCCTTGCTCCTTTCCTTGTTTGCAACGCGGAGGTTCAATTTTATGGAAACTGTGTGCGCTCAGCGAACCGGTTGTTCAACTGGTAAGATCCCATCCCCGGGTAGGTACCCCAAAATTACGTGACTCATAACACGGGGCCCATTCCTTTCTTTGCATCCAGAAAGAACAAGGAGCTTGGTGGCGCAGTCGACTAAGTGCTGTTAGAGTAGTACTTAGCTGCCAGCGGCCTGCAATTACTGCAAGTTCAAATCTCACCAGGCTCAAGGTTGACTCAGCCTTCCATCCTTTCGAGGTAGGTAAAATGAGGACCTGGATTGTGGGGGCAATAAGCTGACTTTGTATAAAAAAGAACACCACTTGGGGGAGGGGGGCGAAAGCCTTACTAAGCAGGTATATACAAAAGTATGAAGGCTATTGCTTAATGCATTGTAAACCGCCCTGAGTCTCCAGAAAAGGGTGGCATATAAATTGAACCAATAAATAAATAAATAAATAAATATCAGAAAAGAATGCTTCACATGCTCCTGCTTCTCATGTGCTTTGCTTAGCAAACAGGAGCATGCTCCTAATACAATATTGTACAATGGTGGGGATAATTATATCATTCCACCAATATCGCCTATTGCCGTGATGGCGAATTTATGGCATGCATGCCAGAAGTGGCATGCAGAGCCCTCTCTGCTGGCACGTGCACCATCGCCCCAGGTCAGATCTCCGTGGCGTTTCTTTTGTGAGCTTCTGTTTCCCTTCAAATGACAAAACTGACGCTCACAAAAGAAAAAGATCTTACCTCTTCCCGCACTGCTGGTGTTGGGATGCCCAGCCTCCAGCCAGCCAGCTGGTCTCCAGGTTTCTGCTGCGCATGCACGCATACCCATTCATGCGCATGTCCGCACATGCATGTGCACATGTCCACTCATGCACATGTTCATGCATGCACGTGCATGCGTGTGTCCGTGCCACTGTGCAAACCTTTTCATTTGGACATGTGCGCGCCCGCAGTTTGGGCACTCGGTGTTCTAAAAGGTTCACCATCACTGGTTTATTGGTTCAAGGTTCCCTTCAAGGTTCCCTTCATCTATTTTTTCCCCACAACAACAAACATCTCTTTGAATGGGGTTGAAAAGAGAGGGATAGGGCCAGAGTCACCCTGCCGGCTTCATGCTAAGGCAGCTCTAGAGCTCACAATCTCCCACTTTCTAGCTCAGCTCCTTAATCACCCCACCAAACTGGCTCTTCATGTACAGGTAGTCCTCAACTTACAACAATTCATTTAGTGACCGTTCAAAGTTACAACAGCACTGGAAAAAGTGACACAATTGTCTTTCACACTGATGACTGCCACAGCATCCCCACGGTCACATGATTTGCACGTGGATGTTTGACAACTGGTTCATATTTATGATGATTGCAGTGTCCCAGGGGTCATATGAGTCCCTTTTGTGACCTTCTGACAAGCAAAGTCAACGGGTGGGGGGGAGGGGGAAGCAAGATTCACTTAACAACCGTGTTACTAACTTAACAGCTGCAGTGATACACTTAAAAACGGCGGCAAAAAAAGTCATAACATGGGGCAAAGCTCATTTAACAAATGTTTCACTTAGCAACATAAATTATGGGCTCAATTGTGGTCATAACTCAAGGACTACCTGTTATCTGGTTATGTAACACACACACACACACACACACACACACACACACACACACACACACTCTCTCTCTCTCTCTCTCTGTATGTTATATACTGTTATATTAACACGTTGTGGTATATTATAGCATATTCTGGCATGACATTTGCTTGTGTAAATAAATATGCTGTAATCTTTTCTTCATAGGAAACAAACAGAGTTAAGAAGTCCTGAATGAGGGGCTTGTAGCTTTAAAGGATGACTTGGGAAAGAAATACAAAGAGAGAAACCACCCACTGCTTTGAAGGGTGGAAAGAGGGTGGAAAGAACATCTGTCCTTCTACCAAAGTAAAAGTCGGCATTCAAAACAGCCCCTCTTGTTCTATGAGGAGAGGGAAACATTGAACGACTGGCTCAAGAT